TCGGGAAGAGGAATCAGTAATTCAAAAGCACTAAGGCAAGAATATGCCTGGCATGCTTGAGGAACAGTAAAGATGCCAATGTGGAATAGAATGAAAAAGAGGAAGAGTAGTAGATGTACAAGAGGTGAAGACTGAGGGTGGAAAAGGTTAGAATATGTAGGACCATTGCAATGATTTTAATTCTTACTCCAAGGGAGCCTTTAACACTAGTGATCTGTGAGGTTAGCCCCTTGTAATGTAGTAATTTGTAATTGATTGCATAGAGCTAGAGGACTTAAATAATTTATTAAAAGTAACATTAGCTGTTTAGATTTTAAACTTAAATTTTCATGATTTACTGCTTTTGGAGTAATAGATTCCTAGTTCTATAGACAGTGTTTTCTTTTCTGAAAGAAACGTCCGTCTTCAATTTTCTTTCTTTTCTTTTCTTTTTTTCCTTTCCTTTCCTTTCTTTCTTTCTAAGGTTTTGTCATAGGGTGTGTGCACCCGATAAAAAGAGATGGTGAGAGGGAAAGTGAGAGATTACCTCCCAGGGTGGGTGACCATGCCACAGTCCCTACTCATTCAATCTCCTTCTGGGGTTTTGGGCACACACGCACAATGTGCTCGGTGTATTCAGGCCTCCTGGTCTGGGACTTGAACCATGGTCTGCCATGTGAAGGGTCCAGTGCCTTAACAACCACGCCACCTGCTGGTCCTATCTTTGTGTTTCTTAATGAGAAATCTAATTTTTAAACTTCCTGTATCAAAATCCATTACTACCAATTTTTTTTGGGGGGGGAGGGGGTGGTGTCGCTGACAGGGTATGTGCACTTACAGGAGAGAGAGATTGTGAGAAGTCATTCTCAAAAAATTACCAGTTTTTTTTTTTTTTGTGGGGATGGCCACACAGCAATCCCTTCTCCATTCTTTTCTCGGGATTTTGGGCATACACACACAAGCACCCAACATGTTTTTCAAAGGGCTGGATCTGGTACTCAGATTATGCAGTCGGCTGAATGGGTTCCAGCTGCCTTAACCTCTGTACCACGTGCTGATCCCCCTCCTTTGTTTGTTTGTTCAGTCTTTCGTAGTTTGTTAAGTTTATTCCAGCTTTTACCATGACAGAGAGTATCTTTGTCTAGTTTTTTAAAATTAGCGCTTTTTTTTTTAATTGCCAAAGGGTTCCTGTGCTTACCAAAGAGAGAAGAAAAGAGAAATGGAGAAGGAGAAAGCTCCCTCCCATTGGGCTTGGTCATGCTGCAATCCTTTTTCTCCAGTTCCTCCTTCCTGTTAGGATTTGGCATACATCCCCAGTGTGTTTTTCAAGCCATTGGGTCTGGTATTCTCCAGTCGGCCATGTGGGATCTGGATCCCTTAACAGTTGTACTATGGAGCTGGCCCTAGCTTATTCTTACATTCAGCATTTTGATCTCAGGAACACATTGGACTTAGGTATATACAATCATACTTGATTATAAATAGCTTATAGTTAAGTTAAATATAATTTGTTTTCTCATATACATTACACTGGATTCTTTTAGGTTGTTTTTTGTTTGTTTGTTTGTTTGTTTGTTTTGAGAGTTTTTTGCTATAGGAAACGTGCTCTCACCAGAAAGAGAGAGACAGAGAGATAGAAAGTGAGAAATCACCCTCCAGGGGGGACGGCCATGCCGCAATCTCTTCTCCTCCATTCTCCTCTCTGGATCTTGGGCATGCATGCATATGCGCCCAGCATGAGTTTAAGCCACCGGGTCCAGGATTCAAACCTCAGTCAACTTCATGGGAGTCCAATGACATAGCCATTATGCTAACTGCTGGTCTCATATGCTGGATTATATTAGCCAGCATCATAACTTCATTAGAACTTAGTGAACTTCCTTGGTGTTTCACTGCTAGAAGAACATAGTGGATTTGATATATTTGGAAATGTACTGATAACTTTTTCTTCTTGGTAATTTATTTGAAAATATTACTTTATTAGATTTTTTTTTTTTTTTTTTTTTTTTTTTTTTATAATAGAGAGCACATGTGTGCATCCTAGAGAGAAGCACCCGGGCACATTCTCATCACACACCATCCTCCTCTAGCTTGTCAGGATCTTGGGCACACATACATGTATCTGGCATTTTTTAAAACCAGTCCAGGAATCCAAACCCATGGTGGGCCATGTGGCTTCTCATACCACAGTTGAATCTGCTGTCAACGGCCCTGCTGGTTTAGGCCATGATTAGGTGTTTTGTTTTTGTTTGTTTGTTTTTCCCCAAGACTACATGCTTTTTCTGGGGAGAGAGAGGGAGATGGGGTGCAGTCACACCATAATTCCTTATCTTCCATCCTATTGGGGTTTTAGGTATATATGCACATGTGCCCTATGTGTTTTCGAGCTGCCAGGACCAGGATTTGAATCCTATACTATTGGCCATGTGGGATCTGTTCCCTTAACCACTAGACTATGAACTGACCCAAGGTTATTCTTTATTTTTTTTGCTAAAGGGCCTGTGCTCTGGCCAGAGAGACAGAGAGAAAGTGGGAAATCACTCCTTGGGGGAATGGCACACCACAATCCCTTCTCCTCCATTCTTCTCTCAGGATCTTGGGCACACACACATCTGATGTGAGTTTTAAGCCACTGGGTCTGGGACTCGAATTGCAGTTGACTATGTGGAAGTCCAGCAATGTAACCATTATAGCATCTGCTGGTCCCCCAAGATTAATTTTTAATACTGTTACTATTATTATTATTTTAGGTTTTTGTTTTGGTGCATGCGCATTTGCCTGAGAGGGACAGAGAAAGAGAAAGTGATACATTACTTCCAAAGGGGCATGGCCATGCCGCAATCCATTCTCCTTCATTCTCCTTTCGGGATTTTGAGCATATGTGCACATGAACCCAGCAAATTTTTTTCTCTTGCTCGAAAGTGTTTTCTTTTTTTTAATTACTTTTTTTTTTTTAAGGAATTTTAAATTTTATTTGTTATTTTTATTTTTTAATTTGACCAGAGAGGGAAAGAAAGGGAAAGTGAGAAAGCAAGCTGTCAGGTTTAGGACTTGAAGACTTGAACTGCTGTCAGCCATGTGGGAGTCAGCACCTTAACCACCATGTCACCTGCTGGTACCTGAAAGCGATTTTTTCATACATTCATTTTTTTCCTTTTTTGCCATAAGGTACATGTACTTGCTAGAGAGAGAGAGAGAGACAGACAGACAGACAGACAGAGACAGACAGACAGTGAGAGGGAAGATAAAATGTTGCTCCCTGTGGGGGATGGCTATGCTCAGTCCCTTCTCCATTCTCCTCTTGGGATTTTTGGCATACATACACACACACTCAGTATGATGATGTGTGTGATTTTCAAGCTACTGGGTCTGGAACTCATACCGCAGTTGACCATGTGGGAGTCCAGCTTCTTAAGCACTATGCCCCCTGCTGGCCTCATCAAGTTTATTATTTTTTTTAAGAGAGATTTTTACTATAGGATAGGATGCGTGCGCTCTCTGGGGAGAGAGAGAGACAGACAGAAAGTGACAAGTCATCCCCCAAGTGGGATGGCCACATTGCAATCTCTTCCCCTCCATTCACCTCTCAGGATTTTGGGCACACATGCGTATGTGCCCAGCATAAGCTTTAAGCTGCTGAGTCCTTGACTTGAACTGTGGTCAACTACATGGGAGTCTAGAGATATAACCATTATGTCATCTGCTGGTCCCTCTCCAAGATTAATTTTTAATACAAATCTTTCAGAGAACTCATAATAGATACTTAATATGCCTAGTCATTGTTTATATTCAGGTTTATATTCGTTTTTAAACTCCCTAATTCAGATCCTTGTCAGTTTTTAGAATATTTTACAGGAAGCCTTAAGATAGTTATTTGAGTTTCCTTGGGAGTTGTATTTATCTGTTGTATGCTAAAACCTTGTTTTTGTCTGATTTGGCAGATACAAGTGCATTATATTGAGAACCTAATAACATTGGCTGTTGATAAACCCTTTCCTAAGCGCTTTCAGGCATGTGCTGGGAGAATAGACTCTAGGCCTCAAATTTGTCCTTAACCCAGACAGACCACAGTCATAATGACCATCGTATAATTTGTTCATGCTTTGGAGCTCAGCTGAAGGAATTAGTTTAAGTGCAGTTATGATCTCCAGCTACTATCATGTTGGGGTATTATTTCTCAGAAAGTTACTTAAAGTAGCATGAAGTACACATCAGAATCAAAAAATGAAAGCAAAAGGTTAATATTGGGGCCAGTAGGTGGCATGGTGATTAAGGCACTGGACTATGACATGTCTGATCACGGTTTGAGTCCTAGACCCAGCAACCTGAACGTCATGCTCAGCACATGTGTATATGCATGCCCAAAATCCTGAGAGGAGAGTAAAGGAGAAGGGATTGTGATGTGGCTATCACCCCTTGGGGTGATTTCTTGCTGTCTGTCTTTCCAGCAAGCATATATACCCTATAGCAAAAATCTCTTTCAAAAAAAAAAAAGATTAATATTATAAAACTATTCTTTAGGTTATACAGAAAATGGAAGTGAATGAAAACATGTTTTTCTTTCATATCAACAATGTGTGTTTCATTATGCATGATTGATTTTATAGCTGATTTACATATCCTATGAGCACAAAATTGGCTTATATCTTAAATCTATATCTTAAATTTTATATACATATGTTTTTTTGGTTTTTTTTTTGAGAGATATTTTGCTATAGACTGTGTGCATGCCCCAGCAGGTCAAAGAGAAAGTGAGAAATCACCCTCCATTGGGGTTGGCCATACTGCAATTCCTTCTCCTCATTCTCCTCTCGGGATTTTGGTCACACATGCCCGGCATGAGGTTCAAGCCATCAGGTCTGGGACTTAAACTGTCGTTGGCCATGTGAGAGTCCCACACCATAATCATCATGCCACCTTCTGGCCTTTAAATTATATCTTAAATTGTTTGATTTAACAGCTGTTACATCAATAACAATTTCTGACTTTTATCCCTTTTCATGATTTGTACTTCATTCCAGATGTGAAAATAAACCAAATACTCCTAGTCCAGCACAATTGATAAGAAGAAAATTCCAGAAGCCTAAGCCAAATTTGGGAAGAGCACATTGTAAGAAAAATGAACCAGGTATAGGAAAAAGCACAACAGATCAAAATGAGGCAAGCAAGCCAGAAGATAATTTGCTACAGCAAGGACATTCTGACACTCAACTGCTTTTAAAAGTAAGTTTGGCAAAGAAAAATGTTTTTGGTCAATATTATGAAGGAGAGCATTAGTAAAATACAGTTTTGACTTCTGTATTGAAACTATTTGTATGAAAAGTGAATGTCTAGTATCATGAAAATTTAGAAACTAATCAGTAGTGTACATGTATGAGCATAGAGGTTTAGGCCAAACAACCAAACCAAATTAATACAGAGATTGTCTCTATGATAATATTACCTGTTTCTTCTTAAATATTAGGAAAAGTCTGAGCTTCGAACTTCTGTGGAGATTTCAGCAAGAAAAGATTGTATAGGTTCAAGAGAGTCTGTCTTGGCCAAAAAAGATGCTCCATTAGAAGTTGTGTCATCGGGCAGTGTTAGCGATGAACCTGTAAGAGATCAGTCTGTTTCTTCAGTGGTTGAAGAACAGCATCTCAGTAAACCAACAAGGTAATGTTTTATTTAACAATACTTTCAGAATAGAAAGTAAAAGTCACTTATTCTTTATGAATGTACTATCTTAACTTAACTGACATAGAACAGTAAGAGGGCTTATTAATGCAAATACACATGGAGGTTGGTTTTTATTGATAGATATGTTTCCTTTTCACTTTGACTTACTTATTAGTTGTTGTTTTTTTTTTTTTTTTTTTTTTTTTTTTTTCTGATCATCTAGCTAGGAAGATTTTTCTTCTCCAAAAGGTTGAAAATTTTCTATGTTAAGTTTGTTAGACATAAGCAGAAGCATCAGTAAAGAGTAGCATGTATTACCTAAATAATTAAGGTATTCATACAGAGTCACAAAGTAGAAAGTAATTCAAGTTTTTTTTTTAAAGAATGATTTTATTTAACTTTTATTTATTTATAATTTGATTAGAGAGAGATAGAGTGAGTGTGAGAGAGAGAGAGAAAGCCACCAGGTCTGGGACTTGAACTGTGGTGGGCCATGTGGGAGTCCAGCATCCTTAACCACTGCGCCACCTGTCAACACCTAGTAATCTAAGTTCTAAAAATAATGTGCTTTGATGGATTTTTTTTTTTTTTGCTTCCCCCACCCTTTGTTTTTTCTAAGAGAGATTGTTTTACTATTAGGGCATGTGTGCTTGCTGGAGAGAGAAAAAGACAGATAGAAAGTGAGAAATCACCCTCCAGGAGGGATGGCCAAGCTGCAGTTTGTTCTCCCCCATTGTCTCCCGAGATCTTGGGCATGCACGCACACATGCTGGGCGTGAGTTTTTGTTTGTTTGTTTGTTTGTTTTGAGAGGTTTTTCACTATAGGGCGCGTGCGCTCGCCAGACAGACAGAGACAGACAGACAGACAGAAAGCGAGAAATCACCCCCCAGAGGGGATGGCCACGCCGCAATCCCTTCTCCTCCATTCTCCTCTTGGGATCTTGGGCACACACGCACATGCACCTGGCGTGGGTTTTAAGCTACCGGGTCCGAGACGCGAACCGTGGTCGACTATGTGGGAGTCCAGCGATATAGCCATTACGCTAACTGCTGGTTCCCCTGGGTGTGAGTTTTTAAGCCACTGGGTCCAGGACTAGAACTGTGGTCAACTATGTGGGAGTCCAGCAACATAACCATTATGCCATCTGCTGGTCCCCTCCCTCTCACTCTTATAGTCGGTTTGCCTAGGAGAATAAACTAGTATAACTTTATTTATGCATTTATTTTTAGGTTTTTACCTTAGAGCACATGAGCTTGCCAGAAACTCAGAGAGAGGGAAAGTGAGAAATCACCCCAAAGGGTGAATGGCCATGCCACAATCTCTTCTAGTCCATTCTCCTCTTGGTATTTTGGGCATACATGCACATATGCCCAGTGTGTTTTTTAAGCTACCACTTCTAGGACTCGTACTGCAGAGATGGCCATGTGAATCTAGTGCCTTAACCACCACTCTACTTGGTAGCATTTATTTGTTTGTTTGTGGATGTATTTATCAGAGAGAGACAGAGAGAGAGTGAGAATTCACCTTCCTAAAAAGGGATAAAAATGCCTCAGTCTCTTCTCCAGTCTCCTCTTGGGATCTTAGGGTATATGCACAAATATGCCCGGCATGATTTTCAAGCTACCAGGTCCAGGACTTGAAACACACAGCCAGCCTTGTAAGATTGAGCACCTTAACCTCTGTGCCACCTGCCTGCCTACCAGTATCACTTTTTGATTCCTTTTTCTGTATTTATTTGTCTCTTTGTCTTCTAATAATTTTCATTTTGTATTTATTTTGTTTCCACTCCCATGTCACAGGGAAAAAATGGGCCAGAATTTAAAGTCCCCCCTTGAGAGTAATTACTCATCTTCCCTCTCTCTCTCTCTGTCAAGCACCTGTGCTCTATGGTTAAAATCTAAGAATAATTTTAGGGGTAGATAACTAAGAATTAACTTAGAATGAGAAACTAAGTAATATTTCATTCCTTTCTTATGTTTATCATTTAAGTTTCTGAAAGAATGATGGGAATTTTAATTTTAATGGCTAGAACTGCAATTTTACTATAAAAGTTTGTTTATTAAAATTACCTTTGTGCATTTTTGACCATATTGTTATCTCCGTTAAACATCTAGCTGTCCACAGCTGTTAAAAGAACCACAGTCCTCTAAAATTGCTCTGGATCGAAGAACAACTATGTCTTCTGCCTCTGAATATGAGACAGGTCGTGCTGAAAGGAGAGTGCGTAGAAAGATCAAACCAAATGTCACCAGAGGTCGTGGGTCAAAACGAATTCGGAGTAAGACCAGTAAGAAAGAATCTAAAGCATCCAAGCCCGTGCTGGTGACTCTTCGGGCTTCCCAGGAAGAAGATGAAGACGATACTGAAGATTTTGAGTCAGACTATGAAGAAAGCTATCATCTTGCCCCAGAAGAAGTAAACAAAGCCCCAGTATTTGTTCCTGTTGGTCTCAGATCCCCTGAACCTGTTTCTGCCCAGATTGAGGAAACAATGGAAGAGGTAATCTGTCTGTTTTGACTCCCAGGCACTTTATTGCAACTGTAATTTTTCCTTCTTTTTTTTTTTTTTTTACTAGCAGATCATTATTTCTTCTCTTAGTTACTATTAGCATTTGAAGAATTCACTCTTTAACCTTCACCAAATATAATTTGTTTGGAGCCTACTGAATAGCTTAAGGAATCTGTAGAAGTGGGCTTGCATGACCTCCTTTGATTACTAAGTCCCTATAGTCCAGGCCCAGCAAGGAAGTCAAGGTAATAATAGTGATGGAAGTCTGTTTATACTTGTATGGGGGAAGCTGCTTCATCTATTTTGTGATTGATTTTGGAAACACTTTGGCAGGTGTTTTTCTATTAAGTTTGTAATAGACTTAGTTTGAGTTCTGTTGTGTTAGTTGGAAAGGTAGAAGGGACATAGTTCTTTTTAGTAAATTGTAATAAAATACAGTTGACTGAAAATTTGATGTCTTCACTAACCATTTTGAGGTATACAGTTCATTGACATTAAGTATATTCACATAATTGTGCTACCAGCACTACCTTCCATCCACAGAACTCTTTATTTTGCAAAACTGAAATTCTATACCCATTAGGCTGTGACTCTTTATTTTTCTACATCCCATTCTTTGTCGACTACTACTTTTTGTCTATAGGAATTTGACTACTCTGGGAACATGATGTAAGTAGCACCATAGAGTATTTGTCCTTTTCTTTTTAGATTTTTTGCCATAGGGCATGTGTGCTCACTGGAAAAAAAGAGGGAAAGTGAGAAATCCCTCCCACCTCCAGAGGGGATGGCCACATCACAGTTCCTTCTCCCCTGTTCTTATCTAGGGATTTTGGGCACACACACACACACACACACACACACACACACAAAATGTGTTTTTCAAGCTGCTGGGTCAATGGGCATTAGGTAGTGAAGCTTCAAGCTGGAAATGAGCATGTTATTTTTCCTTCTGAAACTGCACTTGTATTGTTATGGCAAAAACCTTAACAATAATAATAATAACAACAACAACATGCTAAATGTTTTAAAGTAAGTAGGTATGATAGTTGAAGCAAACTAAAAATAATGCAAAATGAAGTTGTTTCTTTCAATGAAAAGTTTAAAGTAGAGATAGTGAATAAGTTTTTAGTGACCAGGGAAAGTTAATTTTGTGGAAGACATCTGGCTGATACTGTGTGAGAGTTCCTTTAGCTGTATGTTTTGTAGTTTTCTTTTTTTGGAAGAAGGCATATTTCTAGTGAAAACTATTATCAGAAAGTGGGAACCAGCAGTTAGCGTAATGGCTATGTCGCTGGACTCCCAGGTAGTCAACCGCAGTTCATGTCCCGGACCCGGTGGCTTAAAACTCACACCGGGCGCGTGTGCGTGCCCAAGATCCCGAGAGGAGCATGGAAGAGAAGGGATTGTGGTGTGACCATCCCCCCTGGGGGGTGATTTCTCACTTTCTATCTCTCTGTCTCTGTCTGTCTGGCGAGTGCACACGCCCTATAGCGAAAAGCTCTCCAAAAAAAAAAAAAAACTATTATCAGAAAGTAACTTCTAAAAATTGGGTTCCCTTATGATGTAGCCCTGAATTCTTTAGCCTGTCATCTTTAATAGGACTAATTATCATAATTGAACAAGAATTCCTTAAGTTATATGTTATAGCCAGCTTACTAAAAAATGGTAGTTTGTTTATATGTTACCCAAAGAATTTCCTTTAGGTACCAGCTCGTGGTACAGCAGTACCATATCTCTTTATGACATTGAGCCCACATGCATAGTTCTGGGGTTTATGACTCAAGGCTCCCACACTGGAAACACATGCATGCCACTGACCTAGGTGACTGGGAGCGTATCAAGACTTGAGGACTCGGTTGGGGATATCCCCCAATCCCTTTCTCTTGCTCATTCTTTCACTCCCTTTCCTTATGGGAGGAATAAATATACTTTAATAGTATATATTAAAAATAAAGAAAAACTTTTCTTTAAAAGCATTGAAATGAAATAGAATGTTTCTTAGCCATAAAGGAATGCATTTGGATGAACCTCAAAAAGATCGTGCTAAGTGAAAGAAGCCAGTAACAAAATACCACATATATAATACCATTCATAGGAAATGTCAAAAATGGGGAAATCTATAGAGATAGAAGGTAGATTGGTGGTTGCTTAGGGACTGGAAGATGGGGGAGAGAGGGGTTACAGCTCATGGGTATGGGTTTCTGTTTGAAGTGATGAAAATGTCCTAAAATTGAATGTAGTGATTCTTGTACATAGCTATGAATTTTCCAAAATATTTTAAACTGTACACTTTAAATGGGTGAATTGTGTGGTGTGTGCATTATTAAAGCTATCTCCTTAAAGCTTTTAAAAAATACTGTATTGCACCAGCAGGCGACATGGTAGTTAAGGAGCTGGATCCCACATGACTGACTCTGTGGTTTGAATCCTTGACCCACTGGCTTGAAAAACACACTGGGCACTTATGGGTGCATACTCAAAATCCTGAGAGAAGAATGGAGGAGAAGGGATTGTGACATGGCTATTCCCCCTGGGGGGATGATTTCTCATTTTCCTTTTCTTTCTCTCTCTGCCTCTCTTGCCAGTGAGCGCATACACTCTGTGGCAAAAATCTGAAGAAGAAAATGTAGTAAGAGTTCAGAATCTTTTTCAAAAATAATAATAATAATGTATTGAGGGGCCAGATGGTGGTGCAGTTTGAACTCAGCTGGACCCACATGGGAAGGTCCTTTACCAGGTTTTCATGCCAAGGCCTCCTTGTGTATGTTGGGCATACCTGTACATGCCTATGATCCAGGCTAGCTGAAATTGGAGATAGATTGTGGCATAAAGACCCTGTTGAGCTACGGTGCCTTCCTTTCTCTCTCTGAGTTTGTCTGTCTTTCTCTCTCACTCATGGAGAAATAAATTTTAAACAATTAAAAACATTTTAAATATTGAAACCATATGGTATTTACATGACAACTTTCGGTTATCTAGAATATTTTTAAAGAATTATTTAATTTTATTCATTCATTCATTTATTTAAATTTGACCACAGAGAGAGAGAAAGTGAGAAAGCAACCCACCAGTTCTGGGAATTGAACCAAGATTGGCCATGTGGTAGTGTCCAGCACTTTAATGATCACACCACTTCCTGGTCCCTCTAGAATATTTTCTTTTCCTATCCAATCCAAATACTTTCAGAAAGTTTTCATTTTCAGATTGTTTGAACTTTGGGCCAGCACGTGGCATGAAGGTTAAGGTAGTTGGATCCTGAGTGGCCGGTTGAGTGCAGCGGCTTGAAAACCGTGCCAGGTGTGTGTTTGTAGCCAAAATCCCTAGAGGAAAGTGTAGGAGAAGGGATCGCAGCATGGTATAACCCCTGGGGGGTGATTCTTCTCTCTTCCTCTGCACACGTGTCCTACAGCAAGCCAAAATAGAAAAGAAAATGAAAAAAATCACTCGAACTTTTATTTTGTCCTAGACCCATTGGATGTTAGCAAAGATTTTTTTTCTCACTTTTTTTTTTTATCTGAGGAAACAGACACAGGACACAAAAGTGTTACTGTAATATAGCTTGAAGGCAGATTTTTTCTTTTTTAAATGATAGAAAAGTTTGTATGGGACCAGCAGATGTCATAATAGGCATAATGGTTAAATTACTGGGGTCCCACATGGCAGACCGTGGTTTGAGTTCAGATCCAGTGGCTTGAAACTCACACTGGGTATGTGTGTGTGTGTGTGTGTGCCCAAAATCCCAAGAGGAGAATGGAAGAGAAGGGATTATGGTGTGGCCATCCCCTTAGGGGATGATTTCTTTCTGTCTCTCTGGTGTGCGCATGTGCCATATAGCGGATCTCTCTCTTAAATAAATAAATAAACAGAAAAGATGTGTACACGTATCTGGGTGGTGTTGGGGAGGGGGAGGTAAAGAGAAAGCACCCTTGGCAAGGTGTTGTCACACTGCAGTTCCTTTTCCTCAGTCCTATAATTTTTTTTTTTGGAGAGGTTTTTCTATAGGATGTGTGCGCTTACCAGAAAGACAGAGAAACAGAAAGCGAGAAATCACCCCCTGGGGGGGTGGCCATGCCGCAATCCCTTCTCCTCCATTCTCCTCTCAGGATCTTGGGCACACACGCCTGGTGTGAGTTTAAGCCATCGGGTCCAGGACTCAAACCACAGCGACTACATGGGAGTCCAGTGACATAGCCATTACACTAATAGCTGGTCCCAGCCCTCTAATTCTTCAGGATCATGCACATGCCCAGCATGTTTTTAAGGGTCACCTGGGATCAGAACTGCAGTTGCCATGTGGCCTCCAGCACTGTGGTAAATAGTATTACTGCACCACAATTGCTTGACCAAAGGTGGACCCTTAGACTTAAGTCTTTATAATCATTTTCTGCTGAAGTAAACAGCCTTTTGTATTCATCTTGTTAATAAGGGAATAGACACCAGACTGAATTGAATGTATTTGCTCTTTTTTTTGAGAGGTTTTTGCTATAGTGTGTGTGTGCACTAGCCAGAAAGACAGAGAGAAACAGAGACACAGAAAGTGAGAAATCTCCCTCCCGGGAGGATGGCTACACCACAACCCTTCTCCTCCATTCGCCTCATGGGATCTTGGACAAGCACACACACCTGCCAGGTGTGAGTTTAACCCACCCACCAGGTCTGGGACTTGAACTGCAGTTGACTACATGGGAGTCCAGTGACATAGCCATTACACCAACTGCTGGTCCCCGTGAATTGTATGTATTCTAGGAGATAAATCAACATCTTTTTAGGTCTTAGATTATAGGGCCCTTTGACTAATAGGACTGCCAAATGAAGAGTAAATGGGAGTGGGTCCATTATTTTATATGACTGTTCCCATGTGTATCAAGAATCCATGGTGGGAACCAGCAGTTGGCGTTGTGGGTATGTCACTGGATACTCACGTAGTTGACAGTGGTTCGCGTCCTGGACCCGGTGGCTTAAAACTCACGCCGGGCGCGTGTGCGTACGTGCCCAAGATCCTGAGAGGAGAATGGAGGAGAAGGGATTACGGCATGACCATCCTCCCTGGGGGGTGATTTCTCACTTTCTGTCTCTAATGTCTCTCTCTGTCTGTCTGGCGAGCGCACGTGCCCTATAGCGAAAATCTCTCCAAAAAATAAAATAAAATAAAGAATCCATGGTGGTTTTGGGGTTGTGGGAGAGAACAGTCGGAGGAGTGTATGTGAAATGATGTTTTAAAGCACTTTCAATTCATCTCTATTAGAGCATTTATGACAGTGTATAGTTAGTTGATTGCACGTCTATTTCTCTTAGATTGTATGTTCACTGGGATAGGAACCAAATTTGTCTTATTTTATTTTGTATCCCTGTACCTATAGCCCTCTAGTTTTTATAAAGCATTCCATAAATGTTAACTGAGTAAAGAGAAAAGTTAGGGGTAAGTAGGAAAAGTGAAATACCAGGCACGAAGATTAACCTTAGGAATTTTGCTTAACTGGTTATCAGCACAGACTCCCCAAAAACCATGAATGTTTTACTGTTGCCAAGTTTATGTCAGTTTAAGTTTAAGTTATTGTATTTTGGGGCCAGCAGGTGGCATGGTGGTGAAGGGTGCTGGACTCCCACATTGCAACCACTGTTTGAGTCCCGAAACTGGTGGCTTGGTTTCTTACTTTCTCTCTCTCTCACTCTGTTCCTCTCTGGTCAAATTAAAATGAATAATAAATAAAGTTAAATAAAATAATACTTTAAAAAAAGAATTACTGTATTTCAGTATTTTAATCATAAATAGTATGAATTATTTATTTTTTCATTTTATTCATTTGGAAAATTATATATTTTTTTCTTTGTGTACCAAAATGAAATAATAAAACTTTATTTTGACAGCTTGAAATAACTGTGAATGTCCCAGATGTAGAATGCATAGCTATTGATGAATATCAGCTTTCAAACACAGATGTGACTACTCAGGAAATGAAACAAGAAGAAAATTTGAATGCATCATTTGTAAGCATCCATTTTAATGTTTTTAATATGCCTTTTACTCTTTGTTTACTTTCAAAAGACTAGAGGTTTATTTTTATAGCTTTAGGTTTACACCAATTCTTCGCTCATTTCTCTCAGTAGGGAGCTGTTAGTATAAATAGTAAATATTAGTGAATAATCCAAGATTCTTATATTGACTTAGAAATCATTGATTGTGTATGTGTGTGAAGAGGCGGAGCTCTTAATATCCTTCTATATTTTTACATTAGAATTGTTGCATTGGCCTAGCTGCAGTGGTGTGGGCAGTGCAGTTGCCCCTGAGTGATACTGGAGACCATATGGGAAAGCTCTGGGTTCGCATCCCAGAGTAACCTAAACACACCAACCTACGATCATGGCTGGCTGCAGAACTGGTGGGGGCCATCATTATGTGAAGACTCGATTGGAAGTGCCTATCTCTGTCTCTGTCTCTCTCATGAATGAAATAAATTCTATTGCACTAAATCTACGAATGTAAAATATTTAAGATATATTTAGTTGTATTTTCTTTTCTGCTATTCTATTTTAGGTACTCGTTTTTACAAGTGAAGACTGGAATTTTAACTTTTCTATTTTTTTTTTTTTTTGGCTAGAGGGCATTCACCAGAGACAGACAGAGGTATAAAAGAGGAGAAAGCACCCACTCTCCCCCATGTTATGCTGCATTTCTCCATTTCTCCCTTTGGGGATTTTGGGTAAATACACATGAGCACGCATATAGCTGATGTTTCTCAAACTGCTGAGTGCATGGCATGGTTGGTCATGCGGAATATTGACTGCCTTAACCACCAGGCCATGGAGCTGGTCCTGAAATTGTCCTTTTTTTTTTTTTTTAAGAGATTTTGACCTCAGGGTGCACACACTTGCGCAGGGGGACAGACATAGACACAGTGAGAGGGCAAATAAGAAATTACCCCCCCTCCCCACCACACACACACACACACACACACACACACACGCACACACACACACACACGCACAGGGGGACGGCCACACTATAATCCCTTCTCCATGATCCTCTCGGGATCTTGGTCAAGCATGCACACGTACCCAGCATGATTTTCAGGCCATCAAGTCTGGATTCAAACCACAGTTGACCACATGGGAATCCAGCAGCATAACCACTATATACCATCTGCTGGTCCAGAATTGTAACTTTAAAAAAAAAAAACAGATTCAGGGACCAGCAGATGGCATAACAGTTATATTGCTGGACTACCGTGTACTTGACCGTGGTTTGAGTCCCGGACCTGACAGGTGTGTGTCGGGCAGGGGGACCAGCAGTTAGCATAATGGCTATATTGTTGAACTCCCATGTATTCGACCACAGTTCAAGTCCCGGACCCGATGGCTTAAACTCATGCCAGGTGTGTGTGCGTGCATGCCCAAGATCCCGAGAGGAGAAGGGATTGTGGCATGGCCATCCCCCCGGGAGTGATTTCTCACTTTCTATCTCTCTGTCTCTCTCTCTCTGGTGAGCGCACACACCCTACAGCAAAAAACCTCTCCAAAAAAAAAAAAAGATCCTGAAGGCGGAATGGAGGAGAAGGGATTGTGGCATGTCCATAACCCTCTGGGGATGTTTCTCTGTCTTTGTCTCTCTGGTGAGCACACACACCCTGTAGGAAAAAAAATTCTCTGGGAAAAAAAAAGAAAAGAAAAGACAGATTCAGAGGCCAACTGGTGGTATGGTACTTGAAGCACTGGACTCCCGTGTGGCAGACCATGGTTCGAGTCCTGAACCTAGTGGCTTGCTTTCTCATTTTCTCTCTCTCTCTCTGGTGGGTGCACATGGCCTATAGCAAATTAAAATAATAATAATAATAAATAAAATTAAATAAATCCTTTAAAAAATTCACCGAAACATAATTCACATATTGTACCATTCATCCATTTAAAGTGTACACGTCAGTGGCTTATAGTATATTCATAGTGTTCGATTGTGTGTTCTAAGACCAAAAAACAAAGCAGACAAACAATTTCATACTGATTTTGATATAAGTTTACTATCTCTACTGTACATTACAAAACAGGAGATAAATTCAGTGGAGGTTGATTCTCACTACACAGCTGCAGATTACTACCTCTCCTCACTATAAGCTGGTACCTAAAGTAAAGGAGGTAAATAATAGAGCAAAGATTGATAGGAAGATATAAATCTTCAGGGCTAGAAGATCAAAGGCTGTTAGCCTCCTTACTATGAAGGGCAAGAAAGCAAATTATTTCAGTTAGGGGGTCTGAATGACTGTCCCAGGTAAAAATTCAACTCAGCCAGAACCATTTTAGCTCAATTACATATTCACATACATAGAGTTGTGCAGACATCACCACTGTCTATTTTAGAACATTTTCATCACTTCAGACAGAAACCCTTAGAGTCCTCATTTCTTTCAGTGCTCTTCTGGCCTAGGGAAACAATAATCTATTTTTTGCCTGGATATATTTGCTTATTTTTCACATTTCATGGAAATTAAATGTCAGGTTGTCAGGAAAGTTATGTTGTAGTTTTCTATGCCAAAATGTGTCATGACTTTCCTGACAACTCAATAATAAAAAAATGGTCTTTTGTATCTGGGTTTTTTTTACTTATCCTAATATTTTTATTTTTAAATTATTTTATTGAATCTTATTTATTTATTTGTTTATTGAAATTTGACCAGAGAGGCACAGAATGAGAGAGAGAGAGGAAAGTGAGAAAGCAAGTTGCCAGGTCTGGGACTCAAACCACGGTTAGCTATGTGGGAGTCCCAGCATCCTTACCCACCATACCCCCTGCTGGCCCTCTAATATTTTACATATTCGCTCACTTTGTCGCATGTACCAATACTTTATTCCGTTTTTCAGTCAAATAATATTTTATGTGGATATACTACATTTTTTTAATCCATATACCCACTCATAGACATTTAGATTGTTTTTGTCTTTTGTCTATTAGAAATACTGCTGCTATAAACATTCCTGTACAGGTGTTCATAGAGACATATGTTTTCATTTCTCTTGGGTATCTTCCTAGGAGTATAATTGCTAGGTCATATGATAACTCTGTGGTTTTTTTTTTCTTTTTGGAGAGGTTTTCGCTACAGGGTGTGTGCGCTCGCCAGACAGAGAGAGACAGAGAAAGCGAGAAATCACCCTCCAGAGGGGAAGACCACGCCACAATCCCTTCTCCTCCATTCTCCTCTTGGGATCTTGGGCACGTACACACACGCACCCGGCGTGAGTTTTAAGCCACCGGGTCCGGGACGCGAACCACCGTTGACTACGTGAGAATCCAGCGACATAGCCATTACGCTAACTGCTGGTTCCCGATAACTCTGTGTTTAATCATTTGAGGAATTGGCAAACTTCTCCAGAACAGCTACACTGTCTTACATGCCAATTAGCTTGTGTGAGAGTCCCTGTTTATTCTACATGCTTGCCAATACTTGTTACTTTAGTTTTTAAATATAACTTTTCTAGTGAGTATAAAGTGGGATCTCATGGTTTTAATTTTAATTTGCATTTCTGTTGATGATTGATGTGGAGCATCTTTCATGTGCCTTTTGGCCATTTTAAAAAATGTTTTATTCAGATCTTTTGCCCATTTAAAAAATAATAGGGTTATTTGTTTTTTTATATTTGAGATATAACAGTTCTTTATATAATCTGGATACAAGTCCTTATCAGTTACATGATTTACAAATATTTTCTCCCATTCTATGGGTTGTCTTTTCACTTTCCTGATTGTTTTATTTTGATGAGTCAGATTTGTTTATTTTTTGTTGTTGTTGCTCCAGCTTTTGGTGTCATATCTAAGAGTTCTTTGCCAAATTCAGAATTCTGTAGTTACCCTTATTTTTTTTTCCTAAAAGTTTTATGTTTTTACCTTTTAAAAAATATAAAAGTCACTTTTCATTTTTTCATTCATAATTTGAGGGACATTTGGGCAATTTCCACTTCTTATAAATTTTAAATAATGCTTTATGAAAATTTGTGCACAAGTTTTTACATACTTTTTTATTTTTCTTGAGAATACACCCAGGGTAGAATTTTTGGGTCATATAATATTTCTATGTTTGACCTTTTGAGGCACTGCCAGACTAGTTTCCAAAGCAGCTACACAATTTTACTTTTACACCAGTAGCATTTGAAAGTTCCAATATCTCAACATCCTCACCAGCATTTATAATTTTTTTACTATAGCCATCCTCTTGTTTGTGAAGTAGTATCTTTTAGTTTTGATTTGCATTTCTTATGGCTAATGAAATTGAACATCTTTTACGTTCTTATTGACCACTAATACATTTTTCAGGAAATGTTTACTCAACTCCTCTGCACATTTTTAAATTGAATTATTTGCCTTTTTTTTTTTTTTTTTTTTGCTATTGCTATAGGGCACGTGTGCTCGCCAGAGAGAGAGAGACAGAGAGACAGAAAGTGAGAAATCACCCCCCAGGGGGTATGGCCATGCCATAATCCCTTCTCCTCCATTCTCCTCTCGGGATCTTGGGCACGCACACACACGCGCCCGGTGTGAGTTTAAGCCCCTGGGTCCGGGACTCGAACCACAGTCGACTACGTGGGAGTCTGGCGACATAGCCATTATGCTAACTGCTGGTCCCATTATTTGCCTTTTTATGATTGACTTGTAAGCATTCTTTATGTGTAATAGATATAAATCTTTCATCAGATATTTAATTTGCAAAATTCTCTCCTATTCTGTGGGTTGCCTTTCCACTTTTTTCCTTTTTTTCATTTTTGACAGGGTCTCACTGTTGCGATCCTTCTGCCTCAGCCTCCCAGCTGGTACTACAGGTGCGTGCCACCACACCTGGCTCTTGTTTAGATAGGGTCTCACTGTGTTGCCCAAGTCAGCCTTAAGCTTGTGGTCCTCCTACTTCAGCCTCCTAGATTCCTAAGATTACAGTTATATACCACTGTCTCTGGCCTTTAGGTTGGACCGGGAGTCAAACCTGGGTATCCCAGGTGATCCCAGCCTGTATGGTACAGTGGCTTAGCAGCACTTACCACCATGGCTAGGCAACTCTTTCCATTTTCATGACAGTATCTTTGGAAGACAAAAAGTTTTTCATCTTAACAATGTCCAGTTTATCTGTTGAGTTGTCAGAAAAGTCATGATGCACTTTTCTATGTTTTTCAGTGCAAAAATGCATCATGACTTTTCTGACAACCGAATACGTTTGTTCTGTTTTGCTTGTGCTTTCATGGTGTCATAATAAATTTTCGCTTAATTTGAGGTAATGAGGTATATGTTTTCTTCTTAGGTCTTTCATCCATTTTGAGTTAGTTTTTGTATATGATAATGAGGTAAGGTTCTAAGCACATTCTTTTCCACAAGGATATCCAGTTGTCTAGCATCACTTGTTGAAAAGATTATTCTTCCCCTACTGAATAATTTTGGTACTCTTTTTGAAAATCAATTTATCATAATCGAAAGGGTTCATTTTTCAACTTTCAGTTCTAGTCTATTGATCTGTATGTTTGTCCATATGCTGGTGCCATGCTGTCTTGACAGCTGTAGCTTTTGAAATTGGGATGTGTGAATCTGCCAACTGTGTTTTTCTTATTATCTTGAGTTAGGGCTGTGGTCCTCCACAAAGGACCACAGTGCCTCCCACTCTTATGTTTTAAGTGTTTAATCTATTTTGAGTAGTTTTATGTATGATGATACCTTTTGGTTCAACTTCATTACTGTGGCTTTTCAGTTGTCCTGCCTCCATTTGTTTGAAAAGATTTGTTTCTTCTCCTTTGAATGGTTTAGAACTCTTTTAGAAAATTAGTTGATTATAAATATATAACTTTCTGGACTCTCAGTTCTGTACCATTAATGTATATGTGTATCCTTATTCTCATGATGCTTTATTACTATCTTTTGTAGTAAGTTTTAGATTTTAGAAGTATGAGTTGTCCTACTTATTTTTTATCAGGACTGTTTTGGCTATTGTGTGTCTCTCAATTCCGTGTGAATTTTAAAACCAACTTGTCAGTTTCTATAAAGAAGTTACCTGGTACTCTAATTGGAATTGCATTGGATCTGTAGATCAGTTTGGATGGTATTACAGTGTTAGCAATGTTGAGACTTTCAGTCCATGAACAATAGGATGTTTTACCATTTATTTATTGATAGATCTTTGCTTTCTTTCAACCGTGTTTTGCACGTTTTAGAGTCAAAGCTTTGTACTTTGTTAAATATATTTCCAAGTATGTTATTTTTGTCACTATTGTGGATAGGTTTCTTAATTTCATTTTTGGATTGTTCATTGTTAGTGTATAGAAATACAATTGGTTTTATATATTAGTCTTACAACTTTGCTGAACTCACTTTATTAGTTCTGTTGGGTTGTTGGAAAAGTCATGACACATTTTTGCGTAGAGAAAATAGGTCATGACTTTTCTGACAACCCAATAGTAGTTTTTAGTAGATTCCTTAGGAAATTCTACATATAAGATTGTATCATCTGCAAATAGGGATAATTTTATTTCTTCAGAACTTTCTGTCTTCATTTCCCAGGTCAGCTGTAACAAAGTACACCCACATTGGGTGGCTTAAAATCACAGAAATCTGTGGCCAAGCCAGTGGAATAGTAGTTAAGATATCTGGATCCCACATGGGTTTAAGATGTCTGGATCCTACATGGCTGACTGTGTGGTTTGAGCCCTGGCCTCAGCAGTTTGAAAACACACCTGGTGCATGTGCATACATACCAAAAATCCCAAGAGGAAAGTGGAAGGGATTGTGGTGTAGGCACCTTCCTAGGGGCGTGCTATCTCACTTTTTCTTTCTCTTTCCTTCTCCCCCCTCACTATTTCTTGCTGGCAAACACATGTACCCTATAGCAAATTAAAAAAAAAAAAAAAAAAAAGACAACACAAATTTTGATGAGCTCTAAGGAAGCCAGATCCCATATGGCCAAATGCAGTTTGAATCCCCAACCCCAGTGACTTACAAAATGTGCTGGATACATGTGCATATGTGCTCCAAATCCTATCAAGATGGAGAAGTGAGTGTTGCTGACGATGCCCAGTTGGGAGCTACTTTTCTCCCTGTCCTTTTCCCTTTTCCCGCCTGTCTTGTCTCTCTGGCGAATGCACACACCCTTTGACAAACAGCAAACACACAATCAAATAAATTAATTCAACCTATGACACCTTTCCATCTGAATACATTTTATTTCTTTGTCTTATTTATTTGCCCTGGTTAGAACCTCTGTTCAGTGTTTAACCAAAGTGGTAAGAATGGACATTCTTGACTTTTTCCTGGTCTTAGGGTAAAAGCAATTAGTCTTTCATTATTAATTATGATACTAGCTGTGGGCTTTATATACATCTTGTGTCAGGTTAAGGAGTTCCCTTCTAATCTTAGTTCGTAGAGAGTTTTTATCATGAAAAGGGTGTTGGAATTTGTCAAATGCTTTTTCTGCATCTGTTTAAATTATTTTTGTTTTTTAAGTCATATTTATAAGTTGTTAATACATTGTTTTTTATTATTATTATTATTATTGGATGTTAAACCAACCTTGCATCCCTTGGGTAAATCCTACTTGATCATGCTATGTCTTTTTTTTTTTTTTTTTTTTTTTTTTTTAGATTTTTGCTATAGGGTGTGTGCTCTCACTGGAGAGAGTGACAGAAAGTGAGAACTCACTCGCTGTAGGGGGTGACCATGCTGTAACCCCTTCTCCTCATTCTCCTCTCAGGATTTTGGGCACACATGGACCTGGCATGAGTTTCAAGCTGCTGGTTCTAGATCTTGAACTGTGGTCAGCCATGTGGGAGTCCAGCGCCTTAACTCTTATGCCACCTGCTGACCCCAATATATAACTTTTTTTTTTATAGTTTATTTAATATCTACTGAGAGAGGAAGAACAGAGGCAGACATCTTAGTCAAGTCTTTGTGCTCATCTACCTTCAGTGGAAGCGAACCTGGATCATGGGCAGATGAGCATGCTCAAAATGTGCTCAGGGAGGCTCCAGGTTACAAACCTTTCCCATGTGGGTCCAGTGTGTACTGCTGTACCTCTGCCTAGCCCTGTAATTTTTATATGTTGTTGGATTCAGTATGCTAGTATTCTATTGAATACTTCCTACATGGAAGATCATGTTTCAGTTCCTGGGTTGACTTGTACTTGCCAGGTACACACCTGTGATCCTGGCTGGCTCAAGGGCAGATTACAGCCTATGAGAATTCTGTTGATGGTGCCAGTCCTTCTCTCTTTCTCTATCTCTGTTTCATGAAAGAAAGAAACTTGAAAAAAAGTGGTAACTATACCTAGCAATATGATCGGAGTTAAAATTTGCATTTGATTTAAGAAAAGGTAAAATCAGGAGCAACAGACAAAATAGTTTGGCATTTAAGTTATTTCTGTTTTTGTTTATGAAATTTTATGATTATAAATTAAGCAAAAAATCCTAGTTTCCACTGTTATAACTAAGACTATAGAAAGGCCTGTAAAATGCAGTGTTTCTTGAGAAACAGAAAATGTGTTTAGGGAAATACCTAAGATGTTACTTATCTCTTCCCTTTTTTTAGGGAGTGACCACAGGTGAACATATCCAAGATGAACCAGGTAATTTAACAAAGAAACTGTTGAAACTATGTGGTTAATACTATCATGGTGATTTAATAGTGGTGATAGTTAATAAATGGGTCAGTTTATTATAGAGTTGAACATAAAGATCCAGCTATTGAAAATATTATCTCTATGAGAAACTAGGATTCTTGGAATGCTACTTTTAGAAGTTAAGAGTTAAATGTTTAATAAAAAAATACTTTTTGAACATTTCCTCTGGATCTGTACAGCTGAGACATTTTCTGCAAAGGTATTATTTAATGGGGAGGAAAGCATTTTCAGTGAGTAAAAGCTAAAAGTTGATTTCTTTATTCTTAGTATATAATCTAAACAAAGTACTACCCTACTAATGGAATTGCAGTACAGAACTGTTACTAGAACATAAACTGTTACTAGAACATAAAACTGAATTAAACATCTTTTTTAAGTAACCAAATGTCCAGATTTCATTCTTTTGTTTCAATGTTGTTTTCTTGCAAGGCACCAATGATGGAAGCACTGAAGCTGCCATAACTTTAATTACAATGGGAGACCTAGTATTGCAGTCTGAGATCAGCGCTGAACGGGGTGATGGTAAGAATGGAAAATAAGTCCTACCCAAAAGAGGAGAATTTAAATTTAACTTTAAAGGAGCTATGCCCATATTTAAGAAGCAAGCATTGTACATTTGAAGTTGTTTTGTCATCACATTTTGTTGGTTTCTAGAAAAGGTAATATGTGGTTATTGATCCATTCATTATTTTACTTTGCCCCTTTAGGAATGGTGGCAACCAATTTTAGACAGTGCTCTTGGTTTATTAAGAATAATTTAGGGGAGGGGCAGCAGGTGGCACAGTGGTTAAGGCGCTGGACTCCCATGTAGCTGACCATGGTTCGAGTCCTGGACCTGGTGGCTTGCTTTCTCACTCTCCTTTTCTCTCTCTGTCTCTCTCTGGACAAATTATTATTCTCTCTGAAGAATAATAATAATTATAAAAATTAAAGTAATTTTAAATTTTTATTTATTTATTTATTTATTTTTTGGAGAAGCTTTTGCTATAGGGCCCATGCGCTCGCCAGAAAGACAGACAGAGAGATAGAGAGACAGAAAGCAAGAAATCACTTCCTGGGTGGGGGATGGCCACACTGTAATCCCTTCTCCTCCATTTTCCTCTCGGGATCTTGGGTATACACACTCACGCACCCAGCATGAGTTTAAGCCACCAGGTCCAGGACTCAAACCATGGTTGACTACATGGGAGTCCAGCGACATAGCCATTACTCTAACTGCTGATCCCCACATAATTCTTAAAAAAAAAAGAAGAAGAATTTGGAGCCAGCCCATGGCCTAGTGATCCAGATCCCACATGGCCAAATGTGCAGTTTGAATTCTAGTCCTAGTGCCTTAGAAAACATGCTTTGCATGTGGGCATATGTGCCCCAAATCCTGACAGAATGGAGCAGTGGAAGAGAAGGGATTGCATCTTGACCATGCCCTGTTGGGGGGATACTTTCTGTCTCTCCCTCTCTCCCTCTCTCTGTGTTTCTGGAGTGTACAGGTGCTCTTTTCCAAAAATTTTTAAAAATTTAAATATTGGGAACCAGCAGTTAGTGCAATGGCTATGTCGCTGGACTCCTACGTAGTCGACCGTAGTTCGCGTCCCAGGCCCGGTAGCTTAAAATTCACGCCGGGCGCGTGTGCATGCATGCCCAAGATCCCGAGAGGAGAATGGAGGAGAAGGGATTGCGGCGTGACCATCCCCCTTGGGAGGTGATTTCTCGCTTTTTGTCTCTATGTCTCTCTCTCTCTGTCTGTCTGGCGAGTGCACGCGCCCTATAGCGAAAAACCTCTCCCCCCCAAAAAAAATTTAAATATTAAAAAGAATAATTTGTGCCTTATTAAAATTTTAAATTATTTATTTATTTACAGTCATTCACTATACATCAGTGTAATACACAAAGTGAGATTTTTTTCCATCCAGAATACATTGTATATTGGCTTAATCAAGGATATTACCAAACATGTTACTATTAACAAATACTTTTCTGTTTCTTTCTCTTTTTTTTTTTTTTTTTTTGAGTGAGATTTTTTTTTGCTTCAGGGTACATGCACTCGTCAGAAAAACAGAGAGATAGAAAGCGAGAAATCACCTGCTGCAATTCCTTCTCCTCCATTCTCCTCTTGGAATCTTGGGCACTCACGCACATGCGTGTGGCGTGAGTTTAAGGCACCAGGTCTGGGACTCAAACCACAATCGACTACATGGGAGTCCAGCAACATAGCCATTACGCTAACTGCTGGTTCTAATACTTTTCTATTTGTTGTTTCATGTTTTGCTTTTTATTTTTTTCCCCCTTGATTTCCTACCTCTCACCCTCTGCCAGTTCACCCCCTTCTCCCACAGTTTCTGGTATATACAGTTGTTTCCCATGCCAATTTTTTCCACTTTTTATTGATTCACTAAAGATCTTAATTAATTTAAAATCTTTAGATACCAAGCACAGCTGATATATACATATTTATGAGGGCATGTCTGACTAGGCGTAAACCTCAGTGAGTAAAGTGAACATAATATAAAGTAGCACCTCACTGGGGCTATCTAGCTTACTATAGTAATTAAATAGGTAGTAATTAAATAGGTATTAACAGGAATTTTTTAATGCATTTTTTAATTTTAAGGAATACAGACTTAGTTTTAATAGATCAAAATAAAAAAAAAGTATTAAGAGAAATCTGCTTAAAACTTAAAGCCAGGAAAAAGATTAGGGTTCAGTTAAAATAGTAAGTAGATGAACATATCAACAGTTCAAGAAAGGACAAAAATCCTTAAACATGGAAATCAAAACATTGAAGAAAATCAGTAATGTTCTAGTCTACAGTAAAAAAATTATATTTCACTAGTTCAGACTCATGTAATTAATCTCTTTTCTATTGAATTTGCAGTGTTACTGGGGTCTAATCTTCCTATTTAAACTCTAGAAGTTAACATTCAACTATGGACTTGACCCTACCATTAGGCTGGCCATTCTCTTGGTTGTTTTTTGCACTCTTATTTGTGTGTGTCCAACTTTAGTTTTCCTGGTATAGCGCTCCCTTCAAGCCCTTCTTGGAGAGCTGGTCTGGTGTTGATAAATTCTCCCAGGTTTTGTTTATCTGAGAATGTTTTTGTCTTTTTTTCCACATGAAAGATAATCTTGCTGGGATAGTATTCTTGGATGAAATTTTTTTCACTTAACACTTTGAATATATGTTCTCATTCTTTCCTTGCTCGCATCGTTTCTGATAAGAAGTCTGATGTTAGCCTGATGAGATAGCTTTTGAAAGCAACTTGACTTCTCTCGCTAAATTTAGTATCTTGTCTCTGTCTGTGACTTTGGTCAATCTGGTTATGATGTGCCTTGGAGAAGATCTTCTTGGGTTGATTCTATGTGGGGTCCTTTCTTGGGTCTGGATATTTGAGTGCCTCTTAGGTTTGGAAAATTTTTTTCCAGCATTTCATGGAATAGATGATCAATGCCCTTATTAGTTTCTTCACCTTCTGGGATACCGATGATCTAGATGTTTGGGTGTTTAATGGTACCTAGTATTACTTGTATGTTATTCTCATTTTTGGGAGTTATTTTCTCATTCTTTTTGGTGAATTTTTCTAGGTCAGAGGTTCTATCTTCTGTATCATTTTTATTTTGCATAGTTTTTTTGTTTCATGTTGCTTTTTTTTTTTTGTTATAGTGTGTGCGCTCACCATAAAGCCAGAGAGAGACAAAGAGACAGAAAGTGAGAAATCACCCCCCAGGGGTGATGGCCACACCCACAATCCCTTCTCCTCAATTCTCCTTTTGGGATCTTGGGCACGCACACACACACACACACATACCCGGTGTGAGTTTAAGCCACCGGGTCTGGGACTGGAACTGCGGTCAACTACATGGGAGTCCAGCAACACAGCCATTACGCCAACTGCTGGTCCCATCTATCTTCTACATCTGAAAATCTATATTCTGTGTAATTTAATATGCTTCTGATATTTTCAAGGGAAGTTTTGATTTCCTGTATTACAGCCTTCATCTGTAACAGTTCAGTTTGATTCTTTTAATGATTTGTATCTCCTCTTTCAGATTGTGCAAGAATTTCCTCACCTCCTGTAACTTGATGTCTCTCTTCTCCTGCATCTTCTCTTTTTTTTTTTTTTTGAGTTCACTGTAGGGCGCGTGCGCTCGCCAGACAGACAGAGAGAGACATAGAGACAGAAAGCGAGAAATCACCCCCCAGGGGGGATGGTCACGCCGCAATCCCTTCTCCTCCATTCTCCTCTCGGGATCTTGGGCACGCATGCACACGCGCCCGGCGTGAGTTTTAAGCCACCGGGTCCGGGACACGAACCGTGGTCGACTACGTGGGAATCCAGCGACATAGCCATTACGCTAACTGCTGGTTCCCTCTTTTCCTGCATCTTCTGGAGTTCGTTCTCTCTCTTCTCTTGCATCTCTGTTAGCTTTGTCACTATGAACATTTTAAATTCTTTATCTGACATTTCCATGAGTTCTCTTGTATTTGTGGAGGAAGAGGAGTTATTCTTTTCCCTTAGAGGAGTGATATTTTCTTTGTTTTTCATATTTTTTGTGCCTCTGTGGTGGTTTCTGATCATATGATGGATTATACGTTTTTTCCCTAGATTATGAAGTTAAATTTGGGCATTCAGAGGAGTGCAGGAGGAGGTGACCTGCAGTCTCTAAACAGTACCGTTTTTCTCCCTTTGCATAGCTGATGTAATGGAAATTGAGGATAAATCTGACCCTAAAAGTATTCAGATATTTGGCTACTGAGCACTTAGACCTGTTAAGAAAATCAGTATGTGGAGGCTGAGCAGAAGAGTGAGAAAGATAAAAAGGAAAGGAAGAGGAATAGGAAGAAAAAAAAAAGAAGAGAAAAAAGACAAAAACAATAACAATAAAAAAAAGAAAAATCTTTTTGTCAAAAAAATTTCAGTGCACCACATGAATGGGGCCTCTCAGAACTAAAATATAGATGGCTGCTAATTGGCTTATCCTATGGGAGTAGTGGGAAAGGTAAGGATTAGCAAGACAAAAAAATGGCAGAAAGCTAAGAAGTTTGGAAATTAAAAAAAAAAAATAGGGAGAGATGGAGAGAGACAGAAGAATAAGTAGAGTGCTCTAACCTGGCTCCTGGCTAGATTTGGGGATCAGGAGGGTAAAGTCTGAGCAGAGTCTTTGGTGGTTTTAATTCCTGTGTGGGGCCACACAGAACTCAAATATAGATGGCTGATTATTGACTTGCCCTATGGGGGCAGGGAGAAAATGTAAGAAATAGCAAGACAGAAGAGCGGCAGAGAGCTAAGAAGTTTAAAAATGAAAAAAGAACTTAAAACTAGAGATAGAGACAGAAGAATTAGTAGGGTGCTCCAACCTGACTCTTGGGTAGATCTGGGAGACAGGAGGGTAAAGTCTGGACAGAGGGTCTTGGGTGGTCATAATCCCTGAATGTGGCCACTCTGAACTTAAATATAGATGACTGCTGATTGGTTTGTCCTGGTTCCTGGCTTGATCTAGCGGGCGGGAGTGTGAAGTCTGGGCAGATGGTCTTCGGTGGTCGTAATGCCTGAATGGAGCTACTCAGAATTCAAATATAGATGGCTTCTGATTGGCTTGTCCTAGCTCCTGGCTAGATCTGGGGGGCAGAAGGGTGAAATCTTGGCAGAGGATCTTCAGTGGTTATAATGAGGAATAATCTTTATTTGTGGAATCGTTGATCTACTGAATTTTCTTCCTTTATGATCATAAACACCACTGATTAACTGAGCTCACTGATCACTTTTCACTTATGTCTTTAGCAAAACAGTTGCTGCTTGGAATGGTCTTTATAGTTATTTGACAAATACAGTGTGAAAGGAGAATAATAGTTATTGAGATAATTTAGTGTAAATTGTTCTTGCAGTTTGGACAGAGCCATTAAAAACCCAGGTTTTTAATGTATTAGGCTGAATTTAGAAACCATGGTCTTTATTATCTTAAGAACTGTAGCTTCATTAATGAGGATAGCTATGCTATTTTATTTCTGGTAATTGTTTTGAGTGATGATGAGTAGCCTGCCATTCCTTTTAGATGTTAGACATTTAGTCTCATCACCATGTATTTATTAGGAAAGTTTCTGATCTTTGTTCTATTGTAGTAGAGCCTGCCACATAAAATAATAGGTTTTAAAAAGTTATAAATAGGGGTTGGCAGGTGCCGTAGTGGTTAATGGTGCTGGACTCCCACATGGCTGACCTCAGTTCGAGTCTTGGACCTGGCAACTTGCCTTTTCTCTCTTCTCTCTCTCTCTCTAACTCTGTCCCTCTCTGATCAAATTAAAATAAATAAATAAATAAATAAAGGTTAAACAAAACAATTCTCTAAAAAATTAAAATTAAAAAGTTATAAATAGGGCCAGCCTGTGGTGCGGTAGTTAAGGCAATGGATCCCACATAGCTGACTACATGGTTTGAGTTTCAGACTTCCAGCAGCTTGCAAAAAAAATCCCAAGAGGAAAATAGAAGAGAAAGTATTGCAGGGTAGTAAACCCCTGAGGGAGATGATTTCTCACTTTATCTCTCTGGTAAGTGAACATACTCTATAGCAAAAGTAAAAAAAATTCTAAATGAATATAGTTCTGTCTTGAAATCCATAGTTACTGAAAGTAACAAAAGAACTCAAAAAACTTTTATAAAAGTTACTTAGCAGGCTACGAGGTAGCGTGGTGGTTAAGGGCACCAGACTCCCATATGACCGACCATGGTTCAAGTCCTGGACCTGGCGGCTTGTTTTCTCACTTTCTCTCTGTCTCTCTTTCACTGTCAGGTCAAATTAAAAGTAAATAAGTGGGAACCAGCAGTTAGCGTAATGGCTATGTCACTGGACTCCCACGTAGTCGACCGTGGTTCGAGTCTCAGACCCGGTGGCTTACAACTCACGCCGGGCACATGTGCGTGCATGCCTGCCCGCCCAAGATCCTGAGAGGAGAATGGAGGAGAAGGGATTGCGGCGTGACCATCCCCCCTGGGAGGTGATTTCTCGCTTTCTGTCGCTATGTCTCTCTCTGTCTGGCAAGCGCACGCACCCTATAGCAAAAACCTCTCCAAAAAAAAAAAAAAGGAAATAAGTAAAGTTAAATAAAAAAGTAAAATTTTAAAAAGTTATTTAGCAGGGGCCAACAAGTGACATAGTAACAGTTAGGGCACTGGACTCCCACATGACTGGCTGCATTTCAAGTTCTGGACCTAGCAACTTGTTTTCTCACTTTTTTTCTCTCACACTGGTCAAACTAAAAACCAGTAATAAATAAAAAGAAAGAAATTTTTGGTTTTGTTTTTACTTTATTTATTTATTTATTTATTTATTTATTTATTTATTTATTTATTTATTTATTTATTTATTTATTTATTTATTTATTTATTTATTTATTTATTTATTTATTTATTTATTTATTTATTTATTTATTTATTTATTTATTTATTTATTTATTTATTTATTTATTTATTTATTTATTTATTTATTTATTTATTTATTTAAGTTTCACCAGAGAGGGACAGAGTGAGAGAACGAGAGAGGGAAAGTAAGAAAGCAAGCCGCCAGGTCCAGGACTCAAAGTGGAGTTGTCCATGTGGGAATCCAGTGCTCTTAATCACCACACCACCTGGCAGCCCCCAAAGTATTATTTATTTAATTTTATTCATTAATAAAATTAATTTTTAATTTTATTCATTTTGTTAATGAATAAAATTAAATAATTCTTTTTTATTTTTATTTATTTATTTTTTGAGAGAGATTTTTGCTATAAGGTACGTGCACTTGCAGGTAAGACAGAGAAAGACATAGAGGCGGAAAGCAAGAAATCACCCCCCAGAGGGGATGGCCGTGCCGCAGTCCCTTCTCGGAATTTTGGGCACACATGCACATATGCCCAGCGTGAGTTTTAAGCCTCCAGGTCTGGGACTCAAACTGCAGTCAATGACATGGGGGTCTAGCAACATAACCGTTAAGCCATCTGCTGGTTCCTAAATAAATAAATCTTCATTTAAAGAGGTTACTTAGCACAAGAAGAATTTATTTGGACATTTACTTACATTTAGTCAATTGTAACTTTCCATTTTTTTCTTACAGTAGGAGTGTGTGTTCTTCCTGATGTTCATTCAGAGGATAAAAGCCATATTCATTTTAACACAGACAGTGTTAATCTAAGAATTATTCATGAACATCAGGAGCTTTCTTCACCTGTCATCAGTACATGTCCTGCATCATTGGAAGAAAACAAGATTGTAGTGGAGGAACAAAGTACTGGCGAAGAGATTGGTTTAAAGGAGAAAGAGGACCCTACACCAACCAGGTTTGTTTTAGTAATCAACTAATACTAAGTAATTAAACCCTCCATCAATTTGGTTAATTGCTTTGACTAATGCTTAATATAAATGTAAATTAGGCAATGCTGAATTCTTACTCTTTATAGTACAGACTGGTTGGTTTTGATTTTAGTTTAAATAACTTGCTTATTAAAATTATAACAGTAAGTGTTATGTCTTTCAAGCTCTAACAAAATAGATGCAAGTCAATGTAGTCTCTGTTTTACAAACGTGGTTCAGATTCTGAAGACCTCTTGTAAACTTGGTAATACACTTTGTAGTTTTAGTGTTAAATGAGTATTTGTACAGTGTCGCACCTGATATGTGCTATGTTCATTGATTAGTGCTAAACTGTATCTATCTAAGAGAGAATGCTTTCCTGATTGTTAAACTTCACTCTCCATCTCTCTAATTCTAGGAGTACAACTTCTAAAGTGTCCACTAATTTGAGAATGAGAAATAGATTTGCCAAGCCTAAACCAAATCTTGAGAAGATTTTAAGGACTAGTAGGTTTCGTGCTCATCAGGAAGTTTCCAGGTTTTCTGTAACAAAAGGGGAAGAAATGGACACTCAAAAAGGTACACCTTACTACTTTGGTACATTAACATCTTCTGACCCCTGTACTTGTTTTTAAATGAGGTTGTCTTTTTATTTTTGAGTTTTTTTCTAACTGAGTTTTGATAGTTCTTTATATATTGGCACTGTTTTGGTTTATTTTAAGGATTATTTTATTTAACTTTATTTATTTATTTTAATTTGACCAGAGAGGGACACAGAAAGAGGGAGAGAGAGTGTAAAAGCAAGCCACTAGGTCTGGGGCTTGAACCGCAGTCGGCCATGTGGGAGTCCATCTTCCTTAACCACAATGCCACCTGCCAGCCCCAATTTTGGCACTATTTTTAAAGCTTAATATTGGGTTGTTGGAAAAGTCATGACACATTGTTGCATAGAAAAACAAAAAATATGCCATGACTTTTTCTAACAGCCCAATATATTGAAAAAAATCTTTCCGCATGTTTATATAATGCTCTCATTTTTAAAGTGGCTTTGTTATACTGTAATGTGCATGCAGTCCCACTTCCTTTCCTGCCTCCTCTCTTTACACCAAGGGCTTGAAGAGGATAATGGCAGGGACAGGGGACCAGCAGGTAGTGTGGTTAAGGCATTCAATCCCACATGACCGACTGCACAGTTTGCATCCCTGACCCAATGGCTTGAAAAACATGCCAGGTGCAGGTATCTGCATGTCCAAAAGCCAGAGGGGAGAAGGGATTGCAGCATGGCCATCCCCCTTGGGGAGTGCTTTCTCATTTTTCTTCTCTGTCTCTGGTGAGCACACATGCCCTATAGCTAAAAATCTATATTAAAAAAATTAATAAGAGCAAATAAAGTACTGCCAACGGCAGGTCACCTAGATTATATTGAATCCATGTTTAGAATATCTGGATAGCTAGCATCATCTTTTCCCTGTTTGAGGGTGCCTAATTTCCTTTCAACCACTGAGACCTGTTGTATAGTGTACCTATGCACTTAGTTAGCACTTTGTTTCCTGTCCCCACTGAAAACAGAGAAAAAGAATCCTCCCGATTGTGTGGTCACACTGCAATCCTTTTTCTTCCATTTCTCTTGCCCATTCGTATTTTGAGTATACACACACATGCACCCAGCGTGTTTCTTAAGTCAGTAGGTCTGGAATTCAAACTGTAGTTAGCCTCATGGGGTCTGTCTTTCTAGGCACAGGCTTAATCACTACTCTACGTATGGCCCTATTCGTGGTTTGAGAAGTACCTAGAAGCTCTCAGTGTGCAGATTCAGTGTACCTATTTTATGTAGAAATCTTTTTCTTCTTGATGACATTCTTCTTGGCAGCACAGCTACTAATCTAGGGTAGAACTAGCCAGACTTCCTGAGTACCTCTGCCTCTAAACTTTTTTTGTATGTGAGTTCCTAATTCTAGTATGGTAAATGGGGATACAATTGCTGTGTCAACTAGGACTGATAATGTATAGTGTAGAATTCATTAATCATCTCTTTTACTATTTAAAAATTAGTTGGTTAGGGCCTGGCCCTGGGGCCTAGTGGTTAAGGTAGCCAGGTCTCACACAGCTGACTGCAGTTCAAATCCTGACCCTAGTGGCTTGAAAAATCATGCTAAGTGCATGTGTGTGTGCCCCAAATCCTGGCAGGATGGAGAAATTGAGGATAAGGGATTATAGCACAACCACACACAATTGGGAGTGCTTTCCTCCTTTTTCTCCTCTCTTTCTCTGTTCATCTCTGTCTCTCTTTTTCCCTCTCTCTGGTGAAAACACATACCTCCTAGCAGTTTTAAAAAAGTAAAATCTCACTGGCTAGGACTACCCTTCTGTCTTGTGAATAAACTTCATTTTCGGATTAAGAGAAGTTTGAAAGAAAGGACTTTGTGAAAAAGAAAAATTTGGGGGACCAACAGTTAGCGTAATGGCTATGTCGCTGGACTCTCATGTGGTCGACCGTGGTTCGAGTCCTGGACCCAGTGGCTTAAACACACGCTGGGCGTGTGTGCATGTGTGCCCAAGATCCTGAGAGGAGAATGGAGGAGAAGGGATTGCAGCGTGCCCATCCTCCCTTGGGGGTGATTTCTCACTTTCTTTCTCTATCTGTCTTTCTGGCGAGTGCACATGCCCTATAGCAAAAAGAAAACTTCTCCAAAAACAAAAAAAAAACTTCCTCATAGTAAAGGAAACAATAATTAGAGTGAAAAGACAATCTTTAGAATGGAGGAAAATATTTGTAAATTATTCCTCAGCAAAGGAGTGATAGCCAGACACCCCCCAGGGGGGATGGTCACGCTGCAATCCCTTCTCCTCCATTCTCCTCTCGGGATCTTGGGCACGCATGCACACGCGCCCGGCGTGAGTTTAAGCCACCGGGTCCGGGACACGAACCGCGGTCGACCACGTGGGAGTCCAGCGACATAGCCATTACACTAACTGCTGGTTCCCAAAAAAAGAAAAGTTTTTTTTGCTTGTTTGTTTTAGAGGTTTTTGCCTTAGGGTGTGTGTGCTCTCCAGAGAGAGAGAGACAGTGAGAGGGAAAGTGAGAAATCACCCCTAGTGGGGATGGCCACACTACAATCCCTTCTCCTTCACTCTTCTCCTAGAATCTTGGGGATGTACACATATGCACCTGGTGTGAGTTTCAAGCTACTGAATCCAGGACTCAAGCCACAGCTGGCCATGTTGGGTCAGCCATGTGGTCCAACGCTGTAACTGCTATGTCATCTACTGGCACCAGAGAGAGAGAAAGAACACATTTAAGAAAGAAAGATGTATTTATTTATTTAATTCTTTTTTTTTTTTTTTTTTTTTTTAAATTTGCACGCGACAAGAAAAGAGAAA